TGACCGAGTCAATAGAGGAATCATAGATAACTGATCCCTTAGCCGAGCATTTATTTATAATTAAGGTGAATTAATTGAATCAGAAGACATGAGTTACTAAAGCTCTCAACGAGTGATATCTTTCCACCGTTCTTATTAATGGAACACTCACTATTTCATGTTTAAAGAACCCTTTGTGCATTTATTTATCGCAAAGCCCTATTTGATTTATCGTTAATTCAGATCTATATTAAAATTCTTATTTTATCCAGCATGATTTTTTACAAGCCTAAAATATTCAAATTTACATTTGATTTATTACTACTCTTTATTATATCATTTATCAATAAAATTCTTATTTTATCCAGCATGATTTTTTACAAGCCTAAAATATTCAAATTTACCTTTGAATTATTACTACTCTTTATTATATCATTTATCAATAAAATTTATCTTCCCCCAATAATTGTTAAAGGCTCATTCTTGCGTTGAGAAGGCAGGGATGATTTCCTTCTGTCGTGTCAGGCAGTTGGAGGTTAATGAAAATTTCGGACTTCAAGGCGATATTTTGAAGTTTGCAATTGAGGTAAGCATTCATATAAAATAAATTGGATTGAAATCTTTTTCCAAAATTTTGTTTTTCATGAAGATATAAGTGAATTGAAAATTTTTGATATGATATACCTTGATAAAGTAAAATGTCAAATTTCATGAAATTATCTTGTGTAAAATTTCAAGTTAATTCCATTAAATTTTGTAGGAGGACAAGAAGCGGGGCCTAATTCCATTTTATGTAAGTGATTTTTTCTTTACCACTATTTTTATCATCTTGATTAAGGTATCCTTTTATTTGACATTGTAATAAGAAGTAAGAACATTTCGTCTTACTTAATTCATATCATGCAGTTAAAAGTTTTAACAAGCTTGAATTTCCAGCTACTTATTATGTGGCACCATCAATACTAAAATCATGACGCCTTGTCTGCTGACTGACAACAAATATCGATAACGAATATTTCTAAAACTTTTACTTGATGGAAAACCAATTGGCATTTTTTGTCCATTGCTTGGTGTAGATATTTAATTCGTGCTTATTGAGGTTCGAGATTAAATTCTCCTCTATATATAAACTATATTTCAAAAAGTAACCTTTGAACCGCTGAATGATTTGCTTTTTGTATCTGTAATTAAATAGGCTGTCCTCATGGTCGCACAGCAAACAATTAATTTAAGTTTTTCAGTTGTTTTTATCGTTATATTCCCTTAGAGAAATGTGTTTCCGCATGTATGCTTAGATATTTAGCCTTTTTTCACAAAGTTATAAGTTTGTAAGCTTAAGAACTATTAAGGTTTTGTTAAATCTATAGGTAAATGTTAAGTAAATAGTTTCCGGCAATGCTAAGTAAGAGAGCCAATACAGACAGCCTTGCAATTAGCTCATAAAGGATGCTCCAGTAATGATGTCATTATACTAGCCACGTGATTCTATGTCAAATAAAAATATGGCTAATGATTTAGAAAGTTTAAAAAGAAAATTAGCTACATAAAAAGAAAACTAAAAGAGTTTTTAGCTACATTGTATATGCAGGCGCAGCGCCATACGGAAGGTGCTACCTAGTTACATTTCTAGCCATATTTTGAAGTATGGCAAAAGACCAACCCCATAGAAAGCCATAATATAAAACAATGTTTTACCATTAACTCTTGAAGGATAAAAGATTTTAAAGAGATTCTTGCAGGAGTTGAGATACTAACATAGTCATACTACTAAGATAGTGTGAGTGAAAACAACAAAATATTGGGAAGATTTGGAATTTGATTACTTTATTACATTATTTTTCAACTAGTTTGGTGTAGTTACTCTTTTCGAAAGCCTATTGTTGTTAATTTTACGGAGATAAATAAAGAGTTTTACAATGAAATATATTTATACAGCCTATCTAAAGTATTAAGAGAAACATAGTTCAAAAATGTCGATTGGTTATATCGAGATTATCTTAGATAGCAATAGTTGCAGTCCTCGTATAATTAAATTATTCTAAGACAAATGACTAGTAATCGGCAATTGAATTAGAAATTCTTTTTCAATATTCGGAAAAGTGTTTGTGATTGTATTATTTTGAAGGCATAAATGAAAATTAGTTGCTTTCAAAAATTGCTGTATGTTATAATTTTGTTTATAGCTATTCAAGGGATAATTCTGGATAGTTAAAAGATTCTATGACATACTCATATATTACCTGGCAATTAACTTAATCTATTCTAAAACTAGATTTTAATTTATTATTAATTTGATCTTCGTTGTAAATTAGGCTGCAGCCTAAATACGCCATATTAAAGATAATTAATAGGTTTATTCGTCTCATTAAATAAAGGAATAAGATTAAATAATTCCAGATAATTTTAAAAATTAAACTTAGGTTTGTGCGACTCTCGGGACAACTGCCTGCTGCTCCTTTGACAACTTAGCAAGCATTGGACCCGTATGCAAGCAGACTAATGTTTGGTTGCACATAGATGCAGCCTACGCCGGGAGTGCTTTCATTTGCAAGGAATTTCGCCCTCTCTTAAACGGAGTAGAGGTAAAAATCTAATTTTAGTCCATTCGAGTTTCAATACTTACAAAAACGTACATATATATTTAGTAACATTCTGTATTATTTTTACATCATTAAGGAGCTCGCGATTTAAATGCGATTAATGCAAGTCTACTTTGTT